CCTTAGGCACTACGCCACCAGGGCTCCTCCTAAAATATACATATTATAAACTATTGAATCTGGTCACTACATCATAAGAAAAAAAAAAAAAAACCTCTACCTTTGTATACATTTGAAATTTTTCATAATTAAAATTTGAAATACTTTTTAAGGCAAGCTCAAACCAAAAAACCAAACTCACTGACATCAACTTGATTCTGACTCATAGCAACCCTCTTTAGGCTTCCAAGGTGGTAAATCTTCACAGAAGTAGATTGCCTAGTCGTCCTTCTGCGGAGTGGCTGGTGGGTTTCAACCGACAACCTTCTGGTTAGCAGTGAAATGCCTTTGGCACTATGCCACCAGAGCTCCTTTAAGGCAAGCTGCTTAAGTGTTTATTAATTAATATAGTAAATATAATTTTCTATCATTCCAATAACTTTCATAAACGTTTAGAATTTTATCATGGAATTTTTAAGGCTAATTAATTAACGCACTGCCATTGAATCAGATCCAACTCATAGTGACTCCTCCTTGGGTTTCCGAAGTGGTATCACCCAACCTCCAGGGGTCTAAACTCTGCCTCACTGGATAGGAAGGAAACTAAACTCCAGAGAACCCAACCAAGTTGCTGCTGAGTTGATTCAACTTACAGTGACCTACGTGTTACAGAATAGAACTGAGCTCTACAGCATTTTCATGGTTGTGACCTTGAAGCAGATTGCCAGGCACCTCTAGGTGGGTTTGAACCCCTAACCTTTTGGTTAACAGTTAAGTGTGTCACTATTTGTGCTACCAGGAAATCCCAGAGAGGAAAGGTTTAACTAGAGTCAGCCGAGGCCAGAGCTGAGCCTAGAACCCCTATCTCCTGATTCCTGGTCAGGAGCTACTTCTCCCACATTACACATCTGAGTTCCTCTTTATCCCAAAGCTTATCATGAACCATCACATAAATATTTCAACAGCTATAGTATAATAAAGGAGTTCTAGTGGCATAGTGCCTAAGGCAGTTGACTGCAAACCAGAAGGCTGGTGGTTCAAACTCACCAGCCACTCTGGGGAAGGAAGACTGGGTGATCTAGTTCCGTAGAGATTTACTGCCTCAGAAGCCCAATGGGGATCACTGTGAGTCAGAATTGACTTGATGGCAGTGAGTTTGGTTTTTTACAGTATAATAACAGTGTTTAAAGATACTTGAAATAAAATTACCAACTGAATTCAAATTAATTAGCCAGATTCATGAAAATGAAATGTAGGTCTAAAGTAATGTTAAAAATCAGAAAAATACAACTTTAAGAAACTATTCTAGTTTGCTGTTTCAAATGATCTCTTTATTTTAAATAGATCTTTTATTTAATAGTTCATGTTCCCCTCCTTGTTTAGTGATTTGACATTTTTGTTAATGGAAGTTTTTCCTGCTGTTTTCTCACAACTCTCTTTCTAGATGGACTTTCTAGATCCAGTGAGGCAGAGTTTAGACCTCTGGAGGTGGTACCAGGCAGTGTAGGTGGTACTGGAAACTTAAAGATGAGGAAAGATTCTGGTCCTCAAGCACTCACTCTATGCTGGGGAAAAAAGGCAAACAGTTTGTAAAACATAAAGTGACAGTAGTGTATGCAGTGGTATATGCAAAGTGCCCTGGGAGAGAGTTCCAGTCTTCAGGTGTCCTTACTCCCATTCAGCAAATGAAGAAATGGAATTGCTTCAGGTCATGCAGTAAATGGCAAAGCAGGACTGGAACCCAGACTTCCTGATGTAGAACAGAATGAACCTATTATCTAATTTTCATCTAACTCACATGATAAACTGCTTATTATCTTGATGACAATAGTGAGATGGGTTGAAGAATCTTGAAGGCAATTACAAGCTACTCCTCTTTCAGTAATTCTGTAACCTAAACAATCTACAGGAGCTCTGGTAGCATAGTGTCTAAGGCATTTGACTGCTAACCAGAATGCTGGCGGTTCAAACCCACCAGCCACTCCTTGGAAAGAAGATGGAGCAATCTACTTCCGTAGTGATATTGCCTCAGAAACCCAAGGAGGGGTCGCTATGAGTCAGGTCTGACTCAATGGCACATAACAACAACAACAAACAATCTATATAACTTCTCTGAACCCTCCCACCCAGAGATAATATACTTTACCTCATATATTTAGTGTGGGAAAGAAATGAATAAATATGTAACATGACTAATACAGTTGCTGGTACACCATAGGCAACAACAAACAACAGGCTGAGAATTCCTTGAGGAATGGGATTATCTTTTATTTATCTTTGAGTTTCTGGAGCCTGGTACAGTGTGGCTGGCACATATGTATTACATTTATACTGACTTTAGATGAAGTCATTATTAGGAGCTCTGGTGGCACTATGGTTAAGACATTGGGCTGCTAAGTGAAAGGTCAGTGGTTCGAACCTACCAGCCACTCTGCAGGGGAAAGATGAAGCAGTCTGCTTCTGTACGATGTATAGCCTTGGAAACCTTATGAGGGTCTCTACGAGTGAGAAACAACTAGATGGCATGGGTTTCGTTTTTTGGTTTGAAGTCATCATTAAATAAATGTTAAATCTAGAACTATTCTTGCAATATACTTAGTATGCTAATTTCTATAAATATATACATATATATTTAAAATCTCTATTTCATCCACAATGAGTCCACTTTTAAGAACTCACTCTCTCTCACAGCAGTACTTACCTTCTACTGTTGCTCCTTCATTTGGGTTTGAGTATCCCTCTCCTTTCCGTTTGATTCTCCGGATAATGCCTCCATCTTCAAATAAGTCCTCTCCTTTGAAATCAAGAAGTTCAATCTAGAAAGGAAAAGGGGATTTGGCTGAGAAAAGACCAAACAAAGCCAATTTAACATCAGTAAAAGCAAGAACAACCCCATTCTCCTTTCATTTTACAAAATAAAGACTATTAAAAAAAATTTATCTCTGCATCTCAGTTATTGGAAAAGTAGGCAAAAAAGAACACTGAACTTTTCAATACCTGGAAAGACCCTTCATGTAATGATAAGGTCTAGGACTACATCCTGTGGGGCTGCAGTGCTAAGACAGACAGGAAATACTAGGAAAACTGCTTTGTGGGCAAACAGCCAGAGATACAAGATACTATTTTGTCTGATTCTGTGGCCACCACTTTTCCACCCCAGATTCTTAGAGTTCTTAAAATGTAAGAATAAATCCTACAAATTAGGCCTACAGTCAACTAAAGGTTACATTTTAGTAAGGATGGCCCAGGCATTTTCTTCCTTATTTTTGAAATCATGTTTTATCAAATGTATGGAATTCAGCACAGGATGAGTAATATATTATCACCATCTACCACTTCTAACGGTCGTGGAAGAAGTTAGAGCTGTGCCATTTATAAAGCTTTATAATATGAAAACACCTTACAACCTGGTTTGGGCATTATTTCAATATTATCTTCAACACTTCCATCCTGTCTTCTGGTCAGTTTTAAGCATGCCATACTCACACCACTAACCAGAACCTTTCTTTCTAAGTCTGGTATTGTTTGTTTATTTGGATATGATCCTTTTGTGCCAGATACACATTTCTAAGAAAGCACTGGCACACATCCTCTGGGTTTGTGGGAAATAATTCAAGAACCCAAGCTCCAAAATAAATAAGTTGGATCTGATTCTTAAGAGCAAGCCCAGCTCCTTGTTTCACTGACTGTTGGCTTCAGAGCCAGCACTATAGTACAGCAGATGCTGACAAGGCAGCATCACAGCACACACTTACCTCAAAAAAGAGAGTTGCATTGGAAGGAATTTTGGGGACACTTCCAGCTGAGCCATATGCATATTCTGGTTTACACAGTAAGTGGCAGATCTCACCTTTCTTCATGGTAGCCACACCAATATCCCATGCCTTGATAACTTGGCCTAAGAGAAAGGAAAAGGTAGTTGAAAGCTATAAACCACATTTCAAAAGATTTAACTGTCATAAAACAAAACTTCAAACAAATTTCTTACTCTAAGAGATCTTATTCTATATTACTAAGAGAGTATGGGCTACAAAACAACAGAGCTCAGTAAAAGCTACATATTGGGAAATAAATTCAGATATTTTTGAGGGGCATCACAGAGACATTCTCCGCTGAGCAGAATGAAAGCAGTGCTAATTCCCAAAATGCTTAAAACAGTTTCTCAAAGATTAACAGTCTTTGAAAAGTAGGATAAAACAATGCATGAAATATGGCTAGGTTATAGTTGTCGCTTAATTCATAATTTCAACCGTAATAAGAAGTGCATGTTTTCTAGGCAGAGGCAGAACAGAAAGGGTACAGAAAATGAAATTTGTCACAGGAAAGCTCATAGTTTAATTGGGTAGGCAAAACCAGCAAACAAGAAACAACCAGAAAAATAGAAACTAATAAAAGTACCCATAAAACAAATTTCTTCTCAAAATTTAGTATTAGGGAAAAAAAAACTTTAAAAAAACAAAATGATATGGGATCTTTTGTCTAATCACAAGAGCTTCAGTGCTCAGAATATTTTTTTATGCCCTACTTCCAATAAACTAAAATTTACTGCTCGAATGTAGATCTATATTAGCCTATATAATTGCAGTTTCTCTTACATGTATCACTAAGTAACCTTATTGTAAGCAGCCTCAAATCTTCTGAATAGAAAATCTAAGCAATTTAAAGGGATGAAGTACAAACTTGAAGTGATGTGCCAACCAAAAGTTAAGTGTTCAAAGGGAGATCAGGTAATCAAGGAACCACAGAGGAAATGAATTTTGAAGACAGCTGTTGTCTTGGGTTGGGAGAGAGCTGGTACAAGAATACTGGGAATAAAGGCAACTCTGTGTAAAAGCATGTAGGTAGGTATGCTGGGGTGCATTTGTAGCCAATAACTTCAGCTTAATCTTCATTAAGTATTATAACTTTTCAAAATATCAACTGAAGTTATCTTAGTTAAAAATTTATTAAAGTAATAATGCCTGTTACTGAAAATACACACAGGAGAAAGATATAATGTGAAAGGTAAAAGTCATCCAGTCACTCTTTGGAAGACCAAAAAAATAATAATAACATAAATGACAGTGTATTATATACATTCTGTTTTGAGCTGGGTTTTTTTTTTTTAAATATATCTTGATCATCTTTATCAGTAGAAAGGAGGATGTGCAAGTTAATAGTTAAAATGCAGCCTGATCTAACTTCACACTGCCTGGCTTTAACTAGGCCTGCTGTTTACTAGTTATGTGACCTGGGGCAAGTTATTAAATCTCTGTGCCTCAGTTTTCTCATCTACAAAATGGACATAACAACAGTACCTGCCATAGAGAGTTACTGCAAGAATTATTTGATAAAACATGTCAAATGAATGGCACAGTGCCTGGCATAAAACAGGTTTTATAAACCTCAGCTGCCACCACACGACCATTGCCATCACCATCACTATCATTACCATGGCTATCGTTGTCAATACAATAGATCTACCTCATTTTAAAAGGAGTTCTGGTGGCGTAGTGCCTAAGGCATTTGACTATTAATCAGAAGGCTGACAGTTCAAACCCACTAGCCACTCCTCAGAAGGAAGATTGGAAAATCTACTTCCATAGAGATACCACCTCAGAAA